TTGGATCAGGCACACCTTAGTCTTTAACTGACGTCTTTGCTTTTTAGAACCTTGGAGAGGTTCTTAATGATAGATTTTCCCAATGCAACAAATCTTCTGATTTCTTGACTACTGGTATCCTAGGTATTGATTGTAGATGCAATTAAAATTTAGAAATTACTGAGATCTTGAATATTTTGTCTAGCACAATGTTGCCTATTGATCCAACAGTGTGGATTTTTGACTTCTTGATGTTAAGGTACAGTCCTATTTAAGACTGTAGTCTTTGATCTTCAGCAGCAAGTCCTTCAAATCCTCTTCACTCTCTGCAGGTTGCTGATGAGTCTTCCTCCAGCTTCTCAAATAATATGCTCACCATATAGATTTAATAGGTATGGAGATAGGATACAATCTTGATGCACAGTTCTCCTGATTTTAAACTACACAGTGTACCCTTGTTCTGTTTGAACAAGTGCTTCTTGGTCTAAGGATAGGTTTTTCATGAACACAATTAAGTGTTCTGGGATTCTCATTATTCTTAATGCTACCCATAATTTGTTGTGATCTACGGTTAAAACTCAAGTAAACTTCTTTCTAGTTTCCTCTGCTTTTCAGTCAAGATCAATATGATATCAGCAATATCTCTCATGCCATGGCCTCTTCTAAATCTTTTAGTTTCTAGAAGTAACTTGGGGATGCACTGTTCCAGTCATTTTTTTAATAATCTTCAGTAAGAATTTACTTGCAAGTATTATTAGTGATATTGTTCAATAATTTCCACATTCTGTTGGGTCATTTTTTTTTTTTTTACCAAGTAGGGGGCAAGGAAAGGAAGTAGGTTCACAATGGCTAAAAAAAAAAGAAAAAATCACAGAAATTAAGGGTACAGTTATTGTAATTTTCGTCACTACGTTGCAGATCTGTCAAAGTTGAACTGGCAAAAGTCACATGATATAAATATATTTACAAAAGGGTAGTTACCATGGCTGCTTATATTTACCTTACAGGATTTGATTCTTTTGGTTTGGAGACCTAGGATCATGGTTTCATGGGATATCTCAGTTAATTGACTGTAACATTTTAGTATTTTTGTTCTGCTTTCTGGATCTTGAATAGTACCTAAAGAGTCAAAAGCTTGCAAATAGCATATTGGTCTTTATTAACCTGGAGCAACAGAGAAAGGAGATTGAGGAACTAGAGAATAATATGAATAACATGAAATGCATGGCCATTACCTGTACAAACAATTGTCACTTCTTCAATGAGACTAGAACTGGATGATGCAAGCTACCATTACTGAATATGTTTCCCAAAGATTCTAAAGAAGAATCCTGATTAAAAGGGTGGAACAATATAATTGAGTCTCAAGGGCAGCAAGCTTCCAGAAATCATGGAAGGGGGCTGAATCACCAAAACTAATGCCTTGATACAATCTTTTTTTTTTTTTTAAATTTAGGTTGTTTATTTTTCATTTCAATGAACATCTACAGAGATTTTGGGATTCCATTCATTCTTTGTTGCACCCTTCTCCCCGCACAAACCCCT